TTCACTTGTACAATGGAGCAAAATTAAAGCTCCTACTTTATACAGTTGTGAGGATTAAGTGAAATAAAATGCTTAAAGCAATTAGAACAATGTGTAATATATAGTAGGCATTAAGCATTAGCTATCATTGGGGCTATCTGGAGGGCTATTTGATTATAGCCTTTACAAAACCTAAATTAACAAGCTATTTCTTTTTTTCAATGTCACTTTCTAGTTCTATAGCAGAAATTAGAAATGATTCTTTAAGTTATGAGAAAATTCTACAAATTAACACATTCATAAAAATTAAGAAAGACTGTAGAACAATCTATAATATTTACATTGGTTCAAAAAGTCTTTTATCCTCTTCATATAGAAGAAATGCTCTTTGCAATTAGTGTGTATGGCATAATTTTCCTTGGCATTCAAAAACATTAAAAGGGCCCGGCACCTGTAATCCTAGCAGAGATCAGGAGGATCGTGGTTCAAAGCCAGCCTTGGGCAAATAGTTTGGAATACCCTATCTTGAAAAAACCCAATACAAAAAAAGGCTGGCAGAGTGACTCAAGTTGTTAAGAGCTCCTGCCTAGCAAGCATGAGTCCCTGAGTTCAAACTTCAATGCCACCAAAAAAGAAAAAATCAAGACAACAAAAAGTATTAAAAGAACACTAATTTCAACACATTTTTGAATAAGAATTGTGTTTAGAGTTCAGACTTTTTCAGAAAAATCCTCCAACACAGAGGCATAGAATCTATGAACCATGAGCAAGTTATTTCTCTGTGATTTCTCACTTCTAAAATGAGAATAATGCCTGCTCACTCAAAGGGTAGAATCAAATGAATGTGCATCTATCTGTATATCTTCTGAACTGTAAATTCAAGTTTCTGTACTTTTTTGTTTTATAAGAATTATCTCAATTAAGGATGTAAAATTAAACATAAACACACTTACATTGAAAATTTAACAAATGAGCCAGATGCCAGTTCTCATGCCTGTAACCCTAAGTACTCAAGTGGCAGATATCAAGAGGATTGTGGTTCGAAGCCAGCCCAGGCAAATAGTTCACAAGACCCTATCTTGAAAAAGCCCATCACAAAAAAGGACTGGTGAAGTGGCTTAAGGTGTAGGCCCTAAGTTTAAACTCTAGCACTGCAAAAAAAAAAAAAAAAAAAGAAAATTTAACAAACACTGCACAAATCAGTCAGTTATAAGCTAAACTATACTCACTGAAACTTGAGTGAAAGTTCCAAAATACATATTTTTGTAACATTTTCAATAGTCAAATACACTTCTGGTTGAGAAATTAAAAAATTATATAGAGCAAACTGATTAATAACATACTGCAAAAATCTCCCTGCATAAGTTTCTTCATATGTAAAAAATGATTTTTTTCATGTTTATGACTCAAATTTTTTTCTCATTTTGGAAAAGTTACAAGCGAATAGCCAGAATAACCATTGAAATGGAAAGCTGGCATGTTTCTTTATACTTTCCTCTTTAGTATCTAGCTTTGCCCCTCAGTTATTCTGGGTGAAGGTATTTTTTCCTGCTCCTCCAGGGCATTACTACTGGACAATTACTTGGTTTTAAATATTAATGCATTTTCCACTTCTCACAAAAGGTACACTGTGTTATAGTACTCAGTAATTTTTCTATTTTGTGGTAGAATAAATATTAAGCATAGCTAAATACACAAGGCTGATTTGGTATACTGCAACAACCAGATTTAAGTGAAAACTGAAGTACAGGCAAATGTATTAGGTAACAGAAAAGTAATTCAGGGGTACACCTTCAGAATGAGAAGACTTGAAATTGAGTCTTTCAACAGGCAAATGACAGCTCCAAGTCCAGCTCCTTTGTGGGTTCAAAGGATTTGGTGACTTTATACATGTAGTAGTAGGAATTGAATATTTACAGTAAGATATCCAGACCTTTTGAATCAATAGGTGGTAACAAAATAAAACTTGGCTGTTCAGATGCTTCTCATTGTTTGAATGTACAGTAAGCTTTCCAAATCTGGGGGTTCCCCATCTCCAGATTCAACCAAGAATCAAAAATATTTGAGAAAAAAAATACATCTGAGTTGAACAAGTGCAGACCTTTATTCCCCATCATTATTCCCCAAACAATACAGTATAACAACTGTTTATGCAGCATTTATATTAGGTGTTATAAGTAGTCTAGACATGATTTAAAGCAGGCCCTGATATGCGTAAGTTCTATGTAAATATGTACCATTTCACGTAAGGGAGTTGAGCATCTTTGGTTTTTTCTATCTGAGGGGCCGTGGAACCAACCTCTCATGGATACTGAGGGATGACTGCATTGAAGTCATGTATTGCTGGTCAAAGAAATTTTGAGAAGAGAAAGAGGACAGAGAAGGAGCCTTTTTTTTTTTTTTTTTTTTAAGGTGGGTCCAGGGTTTTAACTCAGGGCTTCATGCTTGCAAAGCTGGCACTTTACTGTTTGAGCCATGCCTCCTCCAGCCCATTTTCGTCTAGTTATTTTGGAGATGGGGTCTCAAGAACTAGTTGCCTGGGCTGACCTCAAATGGTAATCCTCCTGATCTCAGCCTCCCAGGTAGCTAGAATTACATATTTGAGCTACTGGTGTGCAGCTATGACAAAATTTTGAAATCTGGATATCCCTATTTAAAGAGTTACTCTTGTAGTTTAGAGAGACTTGATGTGGCCTAAACAGGAGTTTGAAAGTGATATGGCAGGCAAAAAATTAAATACATTAGAAAAGACCATATTTTCTGTTATTCTGGAAGTTTTGTTTTTAAACCTTTCTTTTCAAAGTACTAATATCCCTCTCCACCAAACCAAATCCTACAACAGCCAAAACCAACAATACCCTTTGCTACTAGTTATTAAAATAAGTATCTGCTTTTTATAGGGTTATCTCAACAACTCTTTCACTCTGTCAACTCTGGGTAAGACTTTAATATATTCTATGTGTTTCTTTAGCCATATTAGCAAAATCAGAGAGGGTATTTAGGTGGCCCAAGGATGGAAAATTGCCATTTGGGGTAATTTAAAAGTTTGACCTAAGGCAACTTCAGAGATCAGAGCATTTTCCTTCACACTGTAGTCCGAAGAAACATCTTTCCCCAGTCCACATTCCACTGCAGTTTCAATTGTTTAGGATAGCTTCTATTTTTCCATTCAAAAACTGTTGAAAAAGCTTTACAACAATGGAATTGTTAGTCATTAACCAGGCGTATCTCCTGTAACAACACCTTCCGGGGGATGAAAAAGAAAATGATTTACTTATAAATTTTTGTTTATGCATTTTAGGGTACTTCCCCCTTATTTTTGATTTTTATCAGCCAGGGTCTTCCTAGGTAGCCCAGGCTGGTCTCAAATTTACAATCCTCCAGCCTCAGTCTCCTGACTGCTGGGATTACACCACACCTGACAAAATGATTATTTTTGTAAAATACATAAATAAGCATAATTATCAAAAAATATAGTCATTCTGTATTAACAAAAATATTATAAAACAGTAAGTAGTCTTTAGAAGTCGACTTGACTCTTATTGCCCTATCACTTTCAGTATTTGGGAGCACATACTTTGCACAGAGCAATTTAAAAAAACAGCCAAGTATGGTAGCTCATGTCTGTAATATCAGTATTCACTGGGTGAGAGGCACATCCTACTTTAGCAGTAAGCAATGCTTAGACCCAGAAGGTTTTGACATGTAATGTCAGGGAAGCATCTTCCAGAAAACCGACTCCCATCAAATCTTACATTGCTTCTGTAGAACTACGTTCTATGTTCAGAACCATGAGATGTTCCCCCCCCTCCCCGATGGGGTTTGAATTTTAAAAACTGGAATTTCAGATGCCCCTTCTCTATTTCTGTCCTAGGAGGCATTCTTCATTTATCACTTCTGTGTTGCCATTAAGATCAGGGCACCTTGGCTCGCCACAGCCTGGACAAAAAAGGCATCGCTGCCGGCGACAAGCCCCACCTGTTGAGGTGAGCAGGCTCTCGGGGTGGCTTGCTGCTCCCTCCAGGTAACAAGGGCTGCAACCTCCACGCAGCTGCTGGAAACAGCTGCACCATCTGCCCGGCGGTCTCGCCCCGGCCACTCGAGGGGCGAGGGACCGCATGGCAGCCGCCACCGCACTGCACAAAAGCCACCACCTATGGCTGGGAGCCCCGGGCCTGGCAGGGAGCCCGCAACTCCCGGCGCTGGGGCATCCCCGGGGGAGGCGAGGGCGGCGCGGGCCGGGGGCGCGCCCAGAAGGAGGACGAGGAGGAGGAGGGCTCCGCCACGCGCCGAGGAAGAAAGCCTGACTCATGTCGTGGCCGCAGCAGCAGCGACAGGCTCCTGGGAACTGAAACTCGTGATGCTGGTGCTGCGGAGAAAAGCCTCATTACCCATTCCGCAGGCGGGGGGACACCAAACTGGGCAGGCGCGCACACTCGAGACCCGGCGCTCGGAGGGCCCCTCCCGCCCCACCCTCGTCCGCCCGCGGGCCCGCGCCGAGCCGCGGGTGAGAAAAGAGCGGACACACCTAACCCGCGCGCGCCGCGCAGCGCGGCCCCGCGCCCGCCTCGCCCCGCCCCCCCCAACCAGGCCCTCGGCCAAATTCCCCATCTCCACCGCCCCCGGCGCCTCCTCTAGCCTTCTTCGGCAATTTCCGTGGAGAGAGCCAGAGCTCGGCTAAGTCCGAAGACCCGCCGCCTCCCTCTCAGCCAAACCCGGCTTTATGTCTGCGGCGCCGGGGCGCATGCGCAGACGCCATCTTCCCTTGTCTCCTCCGCGGCTCCCCCTCCCCCCGCCGCCGCCGCCGCCACCACCGCCTCCTCCTCCGGCCTGCGGTCGCCCCTCCTCCTCCTGCGCTCGGGCGCTGGTCCCTCCTCTCCCGATGCCGCGAGAGACCGGGGGATACGGTGGAGTCGGAGAAGAGCACTAGTAACAACCACCACAGCCCCCTCCCCGCCCAACACCCTCCTTCGGCACCCACCCACTCCCCCGCCCCGTGTGCAGACACCGACCAACCCCACCTCTCGTTCCTTTGAACGGCGTCGGCTGCAGTCGCTGCACCAGCCCGTCTGGCCACCAACGCCGCCGAGAAAGGAGCCGCCGCCGCCCGCAGCCCCCCTCCCGCCCGGCCGCGAAATCAGCGGGGTGAGGACGAGCCGGCTGCCGAGGAAGAGGACCCGAGGCTCGCACCCTCCGCTCCCGCGCACGTCCCGCCGCCCTCCGACGAGCTCGGGCGCCGGCCCCTTCCTCCCCGAGGACGAGTGCCGAGCCGAGCGCCTGCCCCGAGGGAGGAAAATGCTCGGGCTCCATGGCTGCCAGTGATGGAGCGGTCCCTGGGCTCCCGCTGCCACCACCACCACCACCACCGCCGCCGTCGCCGCCGCCGCGCCCCGGCCGTGCTCCGCGAGGACTCGGCGTCTCTGCGCGCCCGCCCGCGCCTCGTTGCTGGGCTCACCGTACCGGGCGCCCCACCGCCGCCGCCGCCGCCGCCGCCGCCCCGCTCGCAGCCGCACCGCCCCGGCCCCAGCCGCGGCCAGAGTTTCCTCCCGGAGCAACCGCCGCGAGCCCAGGGGGTTTGAAAGGGTCCGCGGGGCGCGGGGGGAGGGCGGAGCGGGGCCGGCGGGGCCGGCAGGGGAGGTTTGAGCGACACTGAGCTCGGGGCTCGCCGGCGGCCGCGGCGCCGGGGGGTGGCGAGGGCCAGGCGACACTCGCTCCGCGCTGCCTTTCGTGCAGGGCGAGCCGGGAGGGCTTTTTGCAGCGGCCGCCGCCGCGGCGGGAGGAGGGGGCTGAGGTGGCTCCGGAGTTGGCCAAAGAAGGTGGGCATTTCTCGCTTTTCCTCCCTTGACTTCCCCTCCCCCTCTCGGGCTCTCCTCCCTCCTGCCCCGCACCCCACGTGAAGCGGAATATAAAGGGGGGTGTGTGGCTACAGGGGAAAGTGAATGGCGGAGGACTGAAGGGGTCCCCCCTTTGAGTCCCCGGCCACTCTGTTCACCCTCGTTCATCCTCCCTTCCCCGAAGCTCGCCCTCGAAGGCGGGAGCGGCCGGCGCCTTGGACGGAGGAGGAGGAGGAGGAGGTGGTGGAGGAGGAATCGCGTCGGGCGGAGCGTCAGGTCCCGTTTTCCTCCCCGGCGTGTTGAATACAAAGATTACGGTGCAGAAGGAAATTGCACTCTCCTCCTCCGCCCCCCGGTCCCCGACACAATGCACCAGCCGCCCGAGTCCACCACCGCCGCGGCGGCGGCCTCCGCTGCAGACATGAGTGCTGCTAGGAAGATGGCGCACCCGGCAATGTTCCCTCGAAGGGGCAGCGGTGGTGGCAGCGCCTCTGCTCTCAATGCAGCAGGTACCGGCGTCGGCAGCGCTGCCACATCGTCGGAGGACTTTCCGCCTCCGTCGCTGCTCCAGCCGCCGCCTCCTGCAGCATCTTCCACGTCGGGACCACAGCCTCCGCCTCCACAAAGCCTGAACCTCCTCTCGCAGGCTCAGCTGCAGGCGCAGCCTCTTGCGCCAGGCGGAACTCAAATGAAGAAGAAAAGTGGCTTCCAGATAACTAGCGTGACTCCAGCTCAGATCTCTGCCAGCATCAGCTCCAACAACAGCATAGCAGAGGACACCGAGAGCTACGACGATCTGGATGAATCTCACACGGAAGATCTCTCTTCTTCCGAGATCCTGGATGTGTCACTTTCCAGGGCTACCGACTTAGGGGAGCCGGAACGCAGCTCCTCTGAAGAGACTCTGAATAACTTCCAGGAAGCTGAGACACCTGGGGCAGTCTCGCCCAACCAGCCCCACCTTCCTCAGCCTCATCTGCCTCACCTTCCACCACAGAACGTTGTGATCAACGGGAATGCTCATCCACACCACCTCCACCACCACCATCACGTTCACCACGGCCACCACCTTCACCATGGGCATCACCATCCTTCCCATGCTTCTGTGGCCGCCGCATCCATCCCCGGAGGGCCGCCTTCAAGCCCAGTGTCCAGAAAACTCTCTACAACTGGAAGCTCGGACGGTGGTGTGCCAGTTGCTCCAACTTCTGCTGTATCATCGAGTGGTTCACCTGCGTCTGTAATGACTAACATCCGTGCTCCAAGTACTCCAGGTGGTATAGGTATAAATTCTGTTAGTGGCACTAATACAATGAGTAATGTGAGCGCTGCTGCTCTGGGTAGTTTCAGTCCTAATGTGACAAGCAGCATGCTTGGTAATGCTAATATAAGTACAAGCAATATTCCTAGTGCTGCTAGTGTAAGTGTTGGGCCTGGAGTTACCAGTGGTGTTAATGTGAATATCTTGAGTGGCATGGGCAATGGTACTGTTTCTTCCTCTACTGTTACTAACAGTGCTCTTAATGCTGCTGCAGGGATGACTGGGGGATTGGTTTCAAGTCAGCAGCAGCAACCAACAGTTAACACATCAAGGTTCAGAGTTGTGAAGTTAGATTCTACTTCTGAACCCTTTAAAAAAGGTAGATGGACTTGCACTGAGTTCTATGAAAAAGAAAATGCTGTACCTGCTACCGAAGGTGTGGTGGTAAACAAAGTGGTAGAGACTGTAAAACAAAACCCAGCAGAAGTGACTTCGGAGAGGGAGAGCACTAGTGGGAGTTCAGTGAGCAGTAGTGTCAGCACACTGAGTCACTACACAGAGAGTGTGGGAAGTGGAGAGATGGGAGCCCCTACTGTGGTGGTGCAGCAGCAGCAACCAGCTCTTCAAGGTGTGGCCCTCCAACAGATGGATTTCAGTAGCCCCGGTCCACAGAGTATTTCAGCAGTTAGTATACCACAGAGTATTTCTCAGCCACAGATGTCACAAGTACAATTACAGACTCAAGAACTGAGCTATCAGCAAAAGCAGGGTCTTCAACCAGTACCTCTGCAAACCACTATCAATGCTGCAACTGGTATCCAGCCATCACCTGTAAATGTGGTTGGTGTCACTTCAGCTGTATGTCAGCAGCCTTCCATTTCCAGTTTGGCTCAACCCCAGCTGCCATATTCTCAGACGGCTGCTCCAGTGCAAACTCCTCTTCCAGGGGCATCACCCCAACAGTTACAGTATGGACAACAGCAACCTATGGTTTCTACACAAATGGCCCCAGGCCATGGTCAATCAGTGACTCAAAATCCTACTTCAGAATATGTACAACAGCAGCCAATTCTTCAGACAGCAATGTCCTCTGGACAGTCCAGTTCTGCAGGAGTGGGAACAGGAACAGCAGTGATTGCTGTGGCTCAGCCACAGGGGATCCAGCTGCCAGTTCAGTCCACAGCAATCCAAGCACAACCTGCAGCAGTCTCTAGCCAGTCCATTGGCCAGGCTCAAACAGCAGTATCTGCTGTATCTACTGGCAGTCAAGTTGTAAATATTGGTCAACAAGCAAACATACCTACTGCAGTGCAGCAGCCCTCTTCCCAAGTTACACCTTCAGTTATTCAGCAAGGTGCTCCTCCATCTTCACAAGTAGTTCCACCTGCTCAAACTGGGCTTCTTCATCAGGGAGTTCAAACTAGTGCTTCAGGCGTTCCTCAACAGTTGGTTATTGCACCCCAGAGTACCTTGTTAACCATGCCTCCTCAGCCACAGGGAGTAGAGCCAGTAGCTCAAGGAGTTGTTTCGCAGCAGCTGCCCGCAGTTAGTCCTTTGCCCTCTGCTAGTAGTATTTCTGTTTCAAATCAGGTTAGTTCAGCTGGTCCTTCTGGAATGCCTTCTGCCCCAACAAACTTGGTTCCACCACAGAATATAGCACAACCCCCTGCCAGTCAAAATGGTAATTTGGTTCAAAGTATTAGTCAATCTCCCTTGATAGCAACTAACATAAATTTGCCTTTGGCACAGCAGATATCCCTAAGTTCTACTCAGTTCTCTGCACAATCATTAGCTCAGGCAATTGGAAGCCAAATCGAAGATGCCAGGCGCCCAGCGGAGCCCTCCTCAGTTGGCTTACCTCAGACCATCAGTGGTGACAGTGGGGGAATGTCAGCAGTTTCAGATGGGAGTAGCAGCAGCCTAGCAGCCTCTGCTTCTCTTTTCCCGTTGAAGGTGCTACCGCTGACGACACCCCTGGTGGATGGCGAGGATGAGAGGTAAGATCATGCCATATTTCTGCAGACGTCCAACAGATTCAAAGTTAATTTATTTAGTAGCAGTATATGCACAAAGTGTATATGCACAGTTAGTCCAGAGCATATGTTTTCATTTTTGTATGTGAGAATGCATATTCATGGTAAGTTTTCCAGAATGATTTCAGATTGAATAGGAAGTGGTGAAAGTCATGTACCTAATATGTGTCAGAATAGTTATTGAACCTGTGTTTATATTAAAATAGGTTTGAGGGTACCAAGTGATTTTTATTATCTCTAAAATTCTTTTTAGAAGATTTATTATCAAAAGAAGGTTAAATTTTCTAACCTAAATGATACTTGGTCTGTTCTTTTGAGTTACTAAAATCCTTATCGTCTCTTGGGGGGCGGGGGTTGCCGTTCCTGTATTTGTTCTCCTTTACTAGACAGCCCCTTTTCTGTTCTACTGTGTTTGATCTTAGGCTGTGGGAGATACTGTCACCTGCTTTTCCTAGTCAGACACTGTAGGAAAGATGACCTAACTTGGGTTATATAGGTTGCACTCATACTGTAATTGACCAGCTTTTGTAAACCTAATGTAATGGTCCCTTTATCTGCACAGAAAAGGAAGGGAATCTTAAAAAACTAATTTTGGCTGGAGGAAAGCACACATTGTCAAAAACCAGATATATTTCCAACAGTAGTGTGCTGTACATTTTTTCTTTTGCATAGCAGATCAAGGTGGTAGCCATTTTATAGAGTAAGTCATGGAGTGTTGAATTTACAAAGGCATGAAAGTAAGACAATTTGCTAATCTGTTTCACCTGTTCCCCTCTTAACTTACCAAAAAACAAAACAAAAACAAAAACAAAAAACATAAAGCCTAAAATGCATCATTAAACCAGAATTTTTTCAGTTAGATTGTAAATAATTAGTTAATCACATTGCATCAAATTGCTTTTAAATCTGGCTGGCTAGAAAAGTTATGGAATCTTCTGTGTTTACCACATTGGTTTTTGACCTTACAGATTTTTTTTTTTTTTAAAGGAATGTTTTAACAAATTTGCCAGTCTGTGACTGACCTTGATCACAATATCATAGGAGTTACGGAAAGACTGTTCACTTGTATTCAAGACACAATTATTTTAGTATTAGTTGGAGATTATTGAGATTAAACTTTCATCAAACCAAATGAAGCTTTTATAGTCTATATGTTTGTTTGTGGGTTTCATTTTGGAAACACTGAGTATATTACAAATGAATTTTAATTTTAGAAAAAGACCAAATATTTTGGTGAGTTTTTCTTTTGAAGTTGTTTAAAAGATAGTTATGGTAATTGAAACAGGTTAAAATCTTGTCTTTCAAGATTTTTGTTAGTTTTCTAATAGTCATAATTAAAATCTTGTTACTTATCAAATGTATTCTGTATCTTTGTGTAAAAGTAATTTAAAAGATAGACTTCTAGGAGGTAGTTTCCTTAATAGTCCCATTATAATTATTCAACCTTTAATTTTATCTTTATCATTCTGACACTTGTAATGCCAGTTTAAAGAATTATTTACTACAATTATTAATGTTTCCTAAATCAAAAGGGTGTAGTCTGAGTTAAGTTCACATAAAAATGGTATGTTATATAGATGCTAAATTTAGTGAAATGAAAGACAGGGTTGACATACAGAAATGAAAACCACACATTGTAAATTCAAACCTGCTGTGATGTTCTTAATTACCATTTAGGCTTCTGGTATGACTTTTTCCTTTTCTTCCTGTTGGTAGGGAGCATGGCAGGGCTTTCCAAAATTTGCTGTCCCACACAATCAAAGTCAGTGGTTGCTATTTACAATTAAGCTTTTAATTGTAGAGGTAGAGTTCTAGTTTAAAATAGTAGTACAAAATTATTTTCCAGGAAGATAGTAAATGAGATAACGATTAATTATGGGCAAGTATTTGGTTTTTTTGTTGTGGTATTGGGGCTCAAACCCAGGGCCTTGGGCATGCTAGGCAAGAGCTCTACCACTGAACCACAGTCCCAGCCCTTTGAAGAAGGGTTTGGAATTCTAGATCAGGACAAGAAATATGAAATGTTAGTCTAAAGTAACTTAAGTTGTCTTCAGATGGTACTTACTTTTAATTTACTATGCATATGAGCCTTTATTAATTGACGTCAAAGTTGAGTGAGGAAATGGGAAAATTTTTGTTTCAGAGGTATCCTTCAAAAGTCTGTAAAATCAAAATGTTTCGCCCCTAAAATATCTAAAAGGTCAGAAAGTGTGTAACATATATTACCTTTTTAATTGCGTTTTGCTGCAGATTATTTCTATTACCACTTTAGCTTGGAAAAAGAAATACTTCATTTAAATTTGTCCTCAAAAGAGGATTTGAGAATACCTACAAGAGAAAAAAGTGATTTTTTTTTTTTTTTAAACTTTTTAGCTCTCTTCTAATGTTAAGCCTTGGTCTTCTAGGCTTTGTCACCATTCTTCTGTCATGGGAGACTAATATTAAGATACAGGAAATACGTTAACAAATTAGTTTTTGGTGGTACAAATTGAGTGTTTTATTATTGAGTGCTTTGGTGGGACTGGGGCTTGAACTCAGGGCTTACTGTTTACAAAGCAGGTACTCTACTACTGGAACTAACACCTCTAGTTCATTTTGGTCTGGTTATTTTAAGAGATGGGGTCTTGGAAACTACTTGCTTTGGCTGGCCTCGAACTGTGATTCTCCTGATCTCAGCCTTCCAAACAGCTGGGATTATAGGTGTGAGCCATCAGTGCTTGGCTATGACAGTGGTTATTCTTTAATCATCTTCTGCAGTAATACTCAACACTTACTTTAAAATGTTTATTAAATATGTGGAAAGTGCTTTTAAATGCCCACTGTTAAGTATAAAAGATGAAGAATATGAATTAAGGTATACAGATTATGTCTTGTTTTAAAAAATCATTCTTAATAAAAAGGTCTTGATGAATTAGTCTTTAATATGAATTTATCTTTACAAGAATGAGAAGATAGATATTTCACTCTGAAATAGTGTTTTGTGGTTGTTAGCACAACCTTTTAGGTGAAATTGGTCAAACTTCTATTCATCCTTCAAGATTCAGCTCAGATGTTCCCTCTGAAGGATTTGCTTTCCCAGGGGATTTTGTTTCCTTAGTACTTTTTAATGTTCCTCTACTTTAGCACTTGTATGTATTTGATTATAATTATGTTTACCAGTTTTTCCCACAAGGCTGGGAGTTTCTCAAGGGCAGAGACTAAATATTTTTTGAGCAAATTAATGAGCAGATCTTTCTCTGCTTTTCCTATCATGATTTGTCTCTTACCTTAAGCACAACTGTTGGAGATTCAGAATCATGTAGTTTATTCAGTGAATTGAGAAGAAATGAATAAAATGATTGCTAACCTCTTCATTATTCCTTGAGGTGAATTGGTTATCTGTCTTGTATAGAGTGACTTTTATAGTAGATCCTCAAATATTTATTATAGAGAAATTAGTGTTCCCTTATCTGTAAGATAAGAGTAGTACTCATTTTGCTTAACTACTCAGGATGTTTAACATAAGTCTAAACATGTTAATTGTAAAATACCAAATTATAACTTTTTATAGTTCGTTCTTTTTCTTTTTTTTTGAGTCAGGGTCTCACTATGTAGCCCAGGTTGGTCTTGAACTTGAAATCCTTCTGTCTCAGCCTTACAAATGCTGGGATTACAGGCATGTTCCACACGTTTGGCTTAAGTTTTTACTTTTTATTTAGTAGTACATTCACAATTTGAGTCAGATGGTTTACATGAATGAACAAACAAACAAAAACTTTCTGCTTCATTCTTCCCAGGTTTCCTTTCCTACAAGCACTTTTGCCTCTTTTAGATGATTATTCTGATATTACCTCCTAGTCTCTAAAATACTTGTCTTGCTGCTGGATATGCAACATAACTTGATGGTTAGGAGCATGGATTTTGGAAGTAGATTGCTTAGCTTTGATCCTTTCTCTGTCACCTAGTTTATGTAACTTTAAGCCACTTAACCTCTTTGAACCTTACCTTCTTTTGGAAAAGTGAGGAAAAAATAGTATTTCTTACAGGATTGTTACATGAATTAAATTAATTTGGAAAAATTGAAACTTAACTCATTCTGCCCTAAATAAGTATTAAATAAAATACTCCTTGTTTTGTTCTGTCTTTATTAATTTAGATAGAAAATGATCTGGTCACCCTTCTACCTTTCTCCCAATAATTATGATTGTGTCACACTTGATTATTCAGAGTTCTTGTAAAAGATTAGTTTTTCTGTCCAGTATTATGTCCTGCGGCTGCCCTTCTGCTCCTTCCCTGCCCCCCTCTCCCCAAAGCTAACTAGAAGATAGACAATGGTGCGCTCCCTTCCCCTCTCAAGTCTATTTTTCAGCATAGTCTGTTCTCTAAGTTGCCTCCTTCTCCCTCCCCTTTCATTTCTGTGTGTTTTGGGTTCTATATTTCTATAGTCTGCCCTCAGATACTTGGTAATTATTTTTTGGTTTTCTTGTTTTTGTAGTTTTGATGTTTGGTAATTCTTTGTTGTGTGCTTTTACTTAAGTACAAGCGGACTCAAGAGCTAATAAATTTTTCCTTGTGTCTTCACTGTTAGTTCTATCCTAGGGTGATGTTGCTGGGGTCGTCCCATCCCCATCCATCTTTCTCTGTGTTTCATCAGATCTCTCAATGCTGTCACTAAGTTATCAGTTTTATCTTCCTGAGGAAGTCTTTGTGATATCTCTCTGAACTCCATTCTGGACTGATTGCCTTCTAGCCTTGATACTCAAGTATTATTCTGGGACTCCCTTTACTTTCTCTTTGTTGGATATCCATTTTCCAGTGACCAGTGTTGTCTTCGTTTTTGATTTACTTGGTGTTTTAATATGGGTTTAGTTTACCCTAAGTTTGATTCTTTGGTTAGGTAAAGAATACCAGGTAGGAAATTATATTCTCTTACAGTTTTGTACCATTGCTTTGTGTAATCCACACTGCTTTTGAGAAATCTAAAG